ATGATGGAATGGACACTGGCAATGTTAGGGGCCCCTTCCATGCCTGGTCTACCTCCCTTAAACAATCCACCTGACCGTTTCCCCTTATGCTTAGATGGAGTGGATCCCAAGCACCCCGTGGTGCCAAAGTCATGAAAAGATAGAGGCCCAGATCTCCACATGACTGTCTGGAACAGAGCTGTCCACCAACAACAAGCTTCCATTGTGCTAAACCACCTCAGTATATGTACTGACATATGTTACATCAGTGAGTGCAAACCGGAAGGAGTATATTACCTGAGCCAATGATTAAGTGCTCACTATGTGCTGGGCACTGTGCTAAATTCCCTATGGCATTATCTTATCTAATCCTAATTACCCTTGAGATAATGACGACAACAACATCGGAATAGAGCTCTCACTGTATGCTAAACCTTCTACCTACATTACTCCTTCAATCTTGTCAACCACCTATGATGTAAGTATCTTCTTCAGATGAGGTCCAGGGAGGGTCAGTGACTTTTACAAAGTCACACAGTGAGAATGTGGCAGAGGGGGATTTGAATTTGGGTCTGTCTGACCTCAGAGCCCACATCTTTTCTCCTGTGTCATAGCAAGTGCTCAACACACACTTGTTGAATGAATGATGCCACGTTCTTGTGTAGCTTACAGTGAGGATTTCTCACACCTCAGACCCATTCAGCCAGCAGGGCTTAGCACCATCCACTCCAGCTCAACCAGAAGCTGCCTGTCGTAGCATAGCTTAGAGCCACACATGCCAGCTCAAGATGACCACCCCCAAACCCTGGCCATGCATGCCTCTTTACCTCACCAGGCTGCCACTCACCTTTGGCTGTGCTCAGAAATTTTTCAAGGAGGTCTTTCTCCAGCCTGCCTGACTGGGCCAGGGCGTAGCCTGCAATGGCCACAGAATATGGTCTCCGCAGGTTCCTATAGTGGAATTCAATATAATCTCCAGCCTTAGTGATGCTGCGCTCCAGGCTCTGTGAGAAAGAGGATTGGGTTCTCTGGTAAGGTGCATATTGCTGCCACAAAGAGCTGGTAAGGATCACACAAGTGCCACTTCCTGGGTACCAGGATGGTTTCTGTCCTTGGGACATATTTGTTTTGGATCTTTTATTTCTTTTTTCTTTTTTGGATTTTCCAGACATTTTAGTCACCATGAACTTGATGTGCCTGGGAGAGTTTATATACCCAGTGGTGTTTTGGTAACAGTTAAGCACCAGCTCTCCGGAGTGTGTATGGGGGCCAGGAGTCTGTTTTATCGCCTGCCAATTACTGTGGTGTAAATGCTCCCACTGTGGGCAATTTCAAGCTACCAACGTAATGGCCCTGAACATAAAGGGGAGAATGTGTCGCAGATAGACACTCATGACCTAGCATGACCCAGCTTCAGCACCCCACTGGGAAACCTCTTCTCTAATCATCAGCTTCACAGCTAACACTTACTATATGGCAGTCACACAGGCAATCGCTGAACTTCAGGATCCTATGGGGTTGGCATTATTTTCA